GCCAGGCAGCATCAGAGGAGCAGGGACAAAGAAGGGTCCCGACCCTAAACGTCAACTTTCCTGCTCCTCTGATGCTGCCTGGCCTGCTGTGTTCCTCCATCATCTTCATTATGCTGCTTTAAGCTTCATTCAAGTGCTTGCTTTAGACAATCCCATTTAACCAGTTTAATCTTACCAGAGCAGTTTGTCCAGATGGTGACAATACCTGGCTAGAGCTCCTGTGCCTGTGAAAGAACTCCGGCGGGAATCAGGCTGCCCTTTGGTCTCCATGGAGATCACTCCCTGCAGTTCAGAAGAGGTGTCCTCACACAGTGAGTGAGTCCTGAGCAGAAACCCAATCAGAAGTCAGGCCTTTAGGATATGCCACTCGAATTAACCGATAATTTCTTTTCTCTTTTCTGTCAGATCACATTTCTTCAAAGAAAAATGAAATGCTGAAACAGCCACAAATTGACTTTAAGTTAAAAGTATCTTAAAATACCATACTGAGTTCAAAACAATGAAGTTGAGACCAGATGAACAGAGGATCCATTTGCTTTGAATTTTGACCAACTTGATCTGTTATTCCATTAGAAACCATTTACAATATTTAGATCTACACTTTTGGTGGTTTACCATCTTGACATATTTAGGTATAAGGCATAATATCAATGACCTTCCCTCCATCATAAGGTCAGAAGTGGGGATGTTCACTGATGATTGCACGACGTTCAGCACCATTCACAACTCCTCAGATACTGAAGCAGTCCGTGTTCAAATGGAACAAGATCTGGACAATATCCAGGCTTGGCTTGACAAGTGGCAAGTAACATTCATGCCACTCAAATGGCAAGTAATGACCATCTCCAATAACAGACAATCTAACAACTGCCCCTTGCCATTCAATGGTATTATCATCTCTGAATCTCCCACTATCAACATCATTGCCAGTACCATTAAGCAGAAACTTGCCACATAAACAGAATAGCATATCAGAGGCTAGAAATAAAGCAGCGAGTAACTCACCTCCTGACTCCCCAAAGCCTGTCCATCGTCTACAAGGCACAAATTAAGAGTGTGATGGAATACTCCCTACTTGCCTGGATTGGTGCAGCTCGAACAACACTCAGGAAGCTTGGCACCATGCAGGCAAGACGGGAGTATTCCATAATACTCCAAACTTGTGCCTTGTTGATTCACACCATATTGACAAGCATCCATTCCGTCCACCATTGATGCTCAGTAGTGGCAGTATGTACTAACTCCAAGACACACTGCAGAAATTCTCCAAAGATCCTTAGACAGCACTTTCCATGACCACTTCCATCTAGAAGGACAAGGGCAGCAGATACATGGGAATACCACCATCTGCAAGCCCCCTTCCAAGACACTCGCTATCCTATTTGGAAATATATCGCTGTTCCTTCGCTGTTGCTGGGTGAAAACATAGGAATTCCCCCCTCTAAGGACATTGTGGATCAACCTACAGTTCATGGACTGCAACAGTTCAAGAAGGCAGCTCACCACCACCTTCTCAAGGGCAACAAGGGTGGGCAACAAATGCTGGCCAGCCAGCAATGCCCACATCCCATAAGTGAATAAAGAAACTGTACACGCATGTGAAGCATAGGTAAAAGTAAGTATTGTGCCTGAGAATACAAAGGCAAATAACAAAGAAGATTTTGGGTATTTGGAATTTAAGTTATGAGAAAAGGTTGAGGCAGTTTGTTCTGGAAAACGCCCTGAATTTTCAAGCTTACAAAGGAAATTTGTAACGGTAAAATGTAGGTTTCTCAGAAAGGACGAGCTGGACAGGCTGAATGGCCTGCCTTTGATATTCTTACTATTTCACTATGAATTGACAAAAGCTGATCCAGTCAAATTGTTCACTGTGTTTAAAAAAAAAGCTCATAATGCCAGAGACAGTTTAAAATGCGGAAATTGTAAGTATACTGAAAATCAGGTTAAACATCACACACACGTACACGCACCAAGCCCATGCTACCACATTCTGACAAATTTGTGGAATACGTTACCAGCCAAAGTACTGAAAGCAACTGCACAAGGAAGAATAATCGGATGATGTGTTTCTAATAGAGAAGAGGCATGCTGACAATGTGACTGAACAAGCTCACCGGGCATAATGGTCTTTTTCTAGTAAATCAAAATCCTTACAGAGTATTAAATTTAAAAGACTAACCAAAGAACTCTTGAATAATAAAACATGCTGAACTACTTTTGACAACTATCAAAAAATTTATTGTTGAGGTTGCATTTTAACATCTTTGTTCTTCTGTTGGCTAACTGTAAAGCCACTGGCAGGACTGGCAGGTTCCATTGTGGGAGTGATGCACTCCCATACTCCGACCCTGGACTTAATTGTCCACTTGAACTCTAATATCCTTAGTAACCAATGTTGTTGATTCTAAAGTGGGCTGACAAAGGGCAATCTCATGTGGGAGGATGAATCACTCTGGAGTCTGCTAATATGGGACAATGGTGACATGTTGTGGAAACATTTATGTCCCAAATATCATCCCAGCTGTAGAAAGAGGTTACAAAATCAAAAGATTGTGCTTCTAACTCTGAAAAAAAATTAAATTAATTCAAAAGCTTACTTTCTGACAGTAAATCCAGCTATTATAAACACCACTACCATAAGGTTTCCATAGGAACATGGGAGTAGATCATTTCGCTCCTCATACCTGCTTCATCATTCAATGAGATGATAGCTTTTCTGAGATCAAATACAATAAACCTGCCTGTGCCCCATATCCCATTACGCTTATGGTTGACAAAATGTATCAAACTCAGTTATAAAATTAACAATTAAACTGGCTATTTGCAGAAGTGAGTTAAAACATTCTACCCTTCTTGTGTAGAAATATTTACTAACTTCACTCCTGAAAGGTCTGACACTAATTTTCAGACAATGTCTCCTAGTCCTAAACTCTCCAACCAGCAAAAACAACCGTCTGCACTATTTGTTCCCTTTAATATCTTGAAAACTTTGATCAATTCAAATTTAACCTTCTAAATACCAGGGACTACAACCGCAGTTTGTGTAATTTCTCCTTAGCCCATGTACTCTAAAAGGACAAGTGAGTGGTGATGCAGGCTTCTTTGTGTTCTCAAAAGTCTTCCCGCCTAGCGCTCTAGTTCAAATCTAACCCCACACATGGCAATCTGATGTGTTCATTTTTGTGATGTCAGCACTGGCACACAGCCTTGTGGGTACTTCCTCCTGATAGAAGAAATCACCAAGCATCCCTCCTAAGATAGCTAAAAATAGCAGCCACATGTCTCCTAAACAATGGGTATTCCATTGTTCCTTACTCAGATTTCCCCGACCCCTGAAGCTGTTAGCTGAACTGTGATGGACTTTGTCTCAATTTTACTTTTTTACTATTATTATGATGTTTCACTTCTGTCATTAATATAGGCGCTGTGGTGTGGCAGTTTATAAAACTTTTCACTGTATTTTTCAAGTAAAGGTACGCACGACAATAAATTTCTATTCTGTTCTGTTCTAAACCAATTGCAAGCACCTTTCTGCAGTTGCATAGACTTAACTTTACAATTTACTTTCCATTTACAAAATGGTGAAGTCAGTTCATGAGAAGTCAAATTAGAACAGCAAAAGAAACATCTAATAAAGGTGATTTTGTGGGTGCTTTGTCTTCGTGCGTAAAAGGTATATTACATGATGCTCTCAGTCATTTAGCATCCTTCCAAACAAGGCAATCAAATTTAAAAATCCTGAGTGGAGACAGAATTAACTATTGAGTTATCTGGGATTTTACTATTGTGTACATTTGGCTGTGACATGGCAATGTTGAACAATGGAAGTCCAAAAGGTTGTACTGTACCTGTTGTTGCCATTTTCTATTCTCACGAGCTCATCGTCATTATTCCTGACCGAGAGTCTGTGAACACATGGGTATGACTGGTGGGTGCTGATTGTAGCCATCTCTTACTGCCCTTCACATACAACCCGGCTTTGATAAGCACCTGGTAAAGAGATGGCACAAACATCAAAGCAAAGTAACTGTTGGACTATCACAACGGGAAATGATGCTTGTATTTTCCATCAAAATTGAACTATTAACATGTAGACATCATTTGATATCGTACAAGCACACTTTCAAAAAATATTTTCTTCCCCAGGTTTCTTCCCAATCCCTCTCTCGGGTTGCCTCAATTTCAGGATGGGAGAGCAGTCAGATAACCAGCTCCGTTATTGTCATTTTCATCCTCTGACCCACATCCCACATCCCACATCCCACATCTCCGAGTCAAGATATATCTCAAAGATTCTGCATTGCATGTTCTCAGGACACCCATACAAATCAAGGGTGAATGCTAGGTTAGTCACAATGCCCAGTTTATCCCCGAAAAGATAGTTGTAACCATGTTAACTTTTGACGTTATCTTCAGGTTGCACTGCAAAAACTCTCCCAGGATTTTTTTGACAACACCTTCAAAAAGCCCACTGTTGCCGAAAAGGTCAAGGGTGAAAGGCACATGGGAACACCACAAATTCCCTTCCACGTCACACACCATCCTGACTTAGAAATATATTCCTGTTCCTTCATTTTCTTTTGAGTTAAAACCCTGGAACATCCCTACCCAACAGCACTGTGGGTGCCCTTACATCCCATGGACTGCAGGGATTCAAAAAGGCAGCTCACCACTACCTTTTCAAGGAAATTAGAGATGGGCCATAAATAAATGCCATATTCCATGAATAAATAAAAAAAAAACTCAATGCTCTTGGAAGACCTGCACAAAATGTCTGAGATAACAAGGTGTAGAGCTGGATGAACACAGCAGGCCAAGCAGCATCAGAGGAACAGGAAAGCTGACGTTTCGGGCCTAGACCCTCCTTCAGAAATGACTGCTGTGTTTGGTTTTAGTCCATTGACAACACATAGTCAACGATTACCAGTTTACCAGAGTTTACAGAATTTGACAAATTCCTGATTGTTACACCAGTGATTGCAATACCAGTGCTGATTCATCGACTGTTCCAAAGAGTTCATCAATGGGAAGACGATCTGCACAACATCTCCCCTAGAACTGCACATTCTCAGCTTTCCACGTAATGTAAACTACCTGACCCCAAAAATCCTCACAAGGATGTCCTTCAGTATAATCTGACCAGCAGGTGTGTTCTTCATTTACACGGGATATGCAGACAGCAGAACCAACACAGTACTATCTCCCCATACAACTGGAAAATACACTTGCTACTGTAGTTCAGAATCACCCTTCCCCTCGCACAGTTACAGGACCCAAATTAAAGAGCCAATTAAGATTTTTTTTGAAGTGGTATCTTTCTTTAGGGGTCCAGGCTATTTACTACCAACACTGTCCCCAACCCCCCTTTTGATCACATCAAACCTTCATTTTAATTGCGTGCCAGCCTCCAGGTCCTGGTGAATAAAGGAAGAGAGGCATCCTGCCATAGGAGATTCACACCTTGTCTTTGCTTTCCTTATCTAACCTCCCTGATAATAATTGCTTGGAGCTGACATAGGGAGCTGGGTAATCTATGAACCAAAAGAACTGTGGATGCTGTAAATCAGAAACAAAAACAAAGTTTCTGGAAAAGCTCAGCAGGTCTGGCAGCATCTGTGGAGGAGAAAACAGAGTTAGCGTTTCGGGTCCGGTGACCCTTCCTCAGAACTGGTTCCGAATCTATGAACCAGTTCAGATTGAAGGCAACCATGTGGTTGATGACCTGCAGTGGGTTGTCCTTCCCAGCATTATGATGGCAGATTTGCATAATGCGCAGCAATTTTAGGAGTTACTTTATCGGTGCAGCTAGTTGTATACAGAATGTAAGATAGTGTTAACCGGAAAAACGTTACAACTCTGAATTTCTTGTATAGGGAACACTTGGAAAAATTAACTGACCAGTGACCCCTCTTACAGGTTCTGAAGCACCTACTCCAAACATAGTTACCATCAATGCAAGATTTTGAAATGGACAACAATGGAAATATTGTACTAAGGCAGCAAATAATGAAAAATTATGGCATAAAATGATTTAAGTTTGAAAATCTCTGCAATAACTGAAGGCAGAATACAGTCGATGTACAGATACAGAACGATTGATCTATTTAGATATACATGGGAACAGGAGTAGACCATTCAACCCCTCAGGTCTGTTACACCAACCATTCAGTGAGATCATGGCTGATCTGTGGCCTAATTCCATCGGCCTGCCTTTGGCTGATATGCCTTAACACCCTTGCTTTACAAATATTTGTCTATCTCAGATTTAAAGTTAACAACTGATCCTGCATTTGCTGCCATTTGTGGAAGAGAGTTCCAAACATCTACCTCCCTTTGTGTACAGCGGTGCTTCCTAACATCTCTCCGAAACAGTCTGGCTCTAATTGTCAGACTATGCCCTTAGTTCTAGAATCCTCAACCAATGGAAATAGTTTATCTTTATCTACCCTGTCTTTTCCTGTTAATATCTTGAAGACTTCAATCAGATCACCCATTAACCTTCTAAACTGCAGAGAGAACAGGCCTAATTTGTATAATCTCTCTTCATAATTTAACCTCCGAAATCCAGGTATTATTCTTGTAAACCTAGGTTGTACTCCCTCCAAGGCCAATACATCCTTGCAAAACCAAACGAGTTAGGATGTTGATTAAATCTTTTTGCTTTAAGAGCACAAACATCTGTTATAACTGTGAATTCAGGATGGCTCATCTGGTTCTAAAGTGTCAGCTCTGTGCTGGAGCTGCATTAATAATAATGGAAACAACCATTATCTGAAGACGTTTCAATGAGATTGTCCCACTTTGCGTGTCAGTAGAGGTCACGCTGCCTGTAAAGAATGGTTATTTCTCCAACTGAATTTCCTCTGGAATATCATCAACAAAAGTGTTGAAATAAAATTGCCAATATTAAATACACAATATAGCCAAGAAAAACCACACAATTAGAACATAGAACAGTACAGCATAGGAACAGGCTCTCCAGCCCTGAAGTCGTGATGAACATGATGCCAAATTAAACTAATCCCTTCTGCCTGCCCATGTTTCATAACCCTCCATTGCTTGGAGACAGTAAGGACTGCAGATGTTGGAAGCTAGAGATAATAAATATGGAACTGGAAAAGCACAGCAGTGAGATATCTGAGGAGCAAGAAAGTCAACGTTTCAAGCCAAAACCCTTCATCAGGACTAGGTAGAGGGAGAGGAGCCCAGAAATAAATAGAGGGAAGGGGGTGGGGATGGGGGGAAGGGTGGTTGGGATGGAGATAGGTGGATGCAGGTAAGGGGTCATACTGATTGGTCAGTGGGAAGGGTGAAGACGTTAGATGAGTCAGAAGATTGACAGGTTAGGGGAAGAGGGATTTTGAAGCTGGTGAAGTCAATATTCAGGCCACTGGGCTGTAAGCTTCCAAGGTGAAATATGAGTTGTTGTTCCTCCAGTTTACATTTGGCCTCACTCTGACAGTGGAAGAGGCCAAGGGTGGACATGTCATCAAGGGGGTGGGAGGGGGAGTTAAAGTGGATGGCAATCAGAAGATCAGGTTGGTTGGTGCGAGCAGAGCGCAGATTTTCCGCAAACTGGTCCCTGAGTCTGCGTTTGGTCTCCCTGATATAGAGGAGATATATCCTTGATATATAGACCACATCAGGAGCAATGGATACAGTAGATGAGGTTAGATGAAATGCAGGTGAATTTCTGCCAGATGTGGAAGGATTGTTTGGGGCCTTGGATGGAGGTGAGAGGGGAGGTGCAGGGGCAGGTGTAGCACCTCCTGCGGTTGCAGGGAAAGGTACCAGGTGTGGTGGAGGAGTTGGTGGGGAGTGTGGAACTGATGAGGGAGTCATGGAGTGAGCAATCCCTGTGGAGAGCAGGCAGGGGTGTGGAGGGAAATATCTTTTTGGTGGTGGGATCTGATTGTAGGTGGCGGAAATGTTAGAGGATGATGTGTTGTCTTCAGAGGTTGGTGGGGTGGTATGTGAGGACTAAGGGGACTCTATCCTTATTGTTGTTGGGGGGAGAGGGTTTGAGGGCAGAAGCACTGGAAATGGGGGAGTTGTGGTTGAGGGCATCCTGAATAAGAGAGGAAGGGAAACTACAGTCTCTAAAGTAGTAGGATATCTGGGATGTCCTGGAATAGAACGCTATATCCTGGGAGCGGATGCGGCAGACGTGGAGGAATTGTGAGTATGGGATAGAATTTTTGCAGGAGGGTGAGTGAGAGGAGGTGTAATCAAGGTAATTGTGGGAGTCAGTGGGTTTGAAATGGATGTCATTGGTAAGTCGGTTACCAGAGATGGAGACAGAGAGGTCCAGGAAGGGGAGGGAGATGTCAGAAATGGTCCACGTGAATTTGAGGGTGCAATGGAAGGAGAAGTTGATGAACTGTTCAAGCTCCATTCCTTGCTTAATCATGTGCTTATCTAAAAGCCTCTTAAATGCCCATTATCATATCTGCCTCAACCACCATTCCTGGCAGCACATTCTAGACACTTACCACTCTCTGTGTAAAAAAAAAGTTTGCCTCACATCTCCTTTGAACTTTCCCCCTCTCACCTTCAATGCGCGCTCTCTAATACTAGACATTTCAACTCTGGGAAAGATTCTGTCAACTCTCTCTATGCATCTCCCAATTTTATGAACTTCTATCAGGTCTCCCTGAAATTGTTCAACTTAAGTGCCTTCCTTTGTCATTTTTACAGATAAGACGTGCCACGGAATTATTTGCACGTGACGACACTGAAGGTTTATGAAAACAGTGCCCAACAAGATTGAGGTGTAGAATTGCATTTTGTATGCAAAGTAGATCAACCAATCACTATACTCCCAGTCAATTCCATTGTCTATGACAGGACTGGAAATCAGGCAACAGGAACAATACATGTTGTAACAGCCCTTTTACAATACATTTCAAGACAAATTTAAGTTAAACAAGAGTAGGAATAAATGAAAACTCTTCTCTCTGATTGCTAAGGTTGAAACAGAAAGTGCAATT